GGACCGAGGAGAGGAGGAGGGGGCCTGGGAGGCATCGGGCGACAGCGGGGCAACCGTGAGGTAATTTTTATTTGTTTATTATTTTGTTGTTCTGTGACAGATTCCGTTTTTCAAGCGCGACTTGATTCGATCATTACTCGTACGTAATACTCATTATTCGTTCGAGGTTTAACTCCGGCGCAATTTCGCAATTTCGGAGTTCGATCTCCGATCTCCTGCATATGCGAAGAGATATATTACGTCGCGAACGTCGCGTCTCTCTCTTATTCGCACGATCGTAATATTACTTGCATGATTTTTCGCGGATTAATTGTGCGAACGAGTTAATTAATGCGGAAATATGCAGCCGTTTGCGGCGGCCGCAATTGAATCTTGTATTAACATTTTGAAATCAAATATCCGTTAAAATGATGTTGTAAAAATGTAACGGGTGCGATTTATTATTTATTTTAAGTATCGATTATCTTGGACATTTGTTTAATGTAAATATATTTTTATGTTATACAGATCAACGCAGGGTGGCAACTTACAACTCCGCTGTTGCGCATCGGCCGGTGAGTTATTTTTTTATTTCAGTCAAGGCAATTTATGGTTTTAGTCACATTACTTTCAAATTACTTTTGAAATACAATTATGTTAATTAAATAATATTATATAAGTAAATTATTTAAAATATATTATAAGTAAAATATTTAAAATTGTATAAGTAATTATTTACTTATATAATATTAATTAATTAACATATTGTATTTCGAACAAATTTTTATATATAAAAGCGTATGAAGTAAAATTGAGTTTTTTTTTTAATGATAAATGGTAACTTCAAGCCAATCAGACATAACTTGACATTATTATATTTAGGATGTACTACACATACACATTTGTGTCATGACACATACACATGATTAAATTGTAATATATTTATATTCTTTTCCACAAGAATATTTTTCACAAGAATAAAGATAAAACTGTGCATGATTATATTCATATGTCACTATGTGAACCAGACACCCCTATTATCGGGTAATAAATTCCATATAGATTTTTTTATCTCAATAAATATCGCGCGGAGGTAGATTAAAAACACGTGTCGTTAATTCTTTAATGGTCATTAAAAGGATTTTAAACGGTCGTTGCTTAATTCCGCACAATCGAGCTCTCAGCGGGACCGAAATGAACTGCTGGCATGAATTTATATTAACTTTTAATCCCTTCCATTAATTGGCACTCGATAAAATATCGGTGGTAAATTAACTAGCCGCGGCGGCGTATCGTATGCGTCGGAAGTTTTGGTTTCGAAACATGATAATTAAGCTTAAACATGGCACTTGAAATCGGAAGTACAGGACGTTCGCCACTAGCGCTTAAATTAAATGGCATGCTCGAGATACTGTATTCATGGACTTTATCAACGACCGAGTACGCACGCGGCAGGTCGAAATAATTGATTGCTAGCCCGTTGCTATATTAAACCTATATGAATATGCATCAAGTATTGACGAAACCACGTAATGTTTGAGTTCCAGTAGTCGTTTATTTGCACTCGAACGGATACTTTCTCGCCCTCAGAGAGAGACGCTGTACATATCATACAACTTGCAATATCATGAATGTATAAAACCGAAATGTCGTGTTTTAATTTAATTCGTAACTGCTGTGGTAGAATGAAATCCGTCCAAAGATATTCCGTTATCGGAGATTAAGCGACGGAGATCTGGCAGGTTTTAAAGTTAGTATTTGGCAATTTGCAGAATTTGTTTTATTATAATAAGAAAAGCATGATGTGCTATAAGTTGTATATAGTTAATTAAAATTGACGATCATATATTCTGCCTCATTTGTAAGAGACACCAGTGTTCGTAAAGATCCAAGGTAAGTAGCTGCTGATACGAGTATAGACACCTGGATGTATCCTGGTTTCGCAACCTAATCCATAGGATAGAATGCCAATCAGCATCTGCGACGATACTAGAGGCGCACCTAGATCACCCTGCAGACAGTAATATCACGAAAATCATCATCATGGTTGTAATTGCTGAAAGCTTTACCCGCACTAATTGCTAGGAACCGAAGCGTTCGATGACGGATTAGTTATAATTAATTATATACGGGCTTGGCATACGCAAAATCTCTTTTAAAGTTTAATTGATTTATTTTTAAGAGCAACACTTAACATCTCTCAAAAGCTTTTTGTTTCATAATTATTAAATTAGTACTAAAACGAGAAAATTCAGTTACCTAAAAATCTTTACAAAATCTTTACCAAATCCGAGCTCATCGTTGCGTAAATTTATTCTAAATATAATACGGCTTGTGTCTAAGAAAAATATTGTATCTATATACGAGGTGCTCTCATGTTCCGTGGCTTTCGAACGTAGTATGGTCGCGTATAGTCACGTCGCGAAATAACGGGAATTTTTCTAGCGCGCGCGCGCGCGAATCTCTTCGCATTTCGCTTGTAGTGCTTCGACGTCGCGTGAAAATTGCGTTCTCGAGTCAAGTGCCGCATTGTTCACCGATCTAGTGCATCCGACACCTGAACCAGCCATGCGTGTACTTGCGGAAAGACTATTGACTCGATTGATGTAATTGTACACTCGTGACCGTGGCACAATTGGAATTCGACTACCATCATCGACTGCTCTTAATTTACGCGCCTCACATTTCTACATTTTATTGCTCCTCGCGAGATTATTACGAGATTGCGCTTAGACTCACATATCGATATCGGTGCTTAAGATTACTTGAAAAATCTCAATCGGTTTCAGCCGACAACACAGTAACTGTACAGAGTAACTATTAATCTAATCAATCATAAATCATCACACTGTTAAATATAAAGGGATTAAATTTAAACCAATAATTTGAGTTAAATAACATTTTGTTATTTTTAACTTCTACGTGTGTCGAAATTTATTAGTTTAACACAAAACAGTATTATTTTAACTTCATTGTTTTAGTTAAATTAACGACATATTGAATATGAGCAGTAATGACTTATAACAATGATTTAAAAAATGATTAGTTTTTTTTCAGCTAGAAGCTGCTTTCAGACAGCTAGAAAAGTTAAATTAACGAATTTAACAATGCAGTTTTATTATTTATCCTCTGCATTCTTATAATTAAAAGAACATCCCGTAATAATTCTGACACCTCGTGCAGTACTTTACCAAATCCTCTGCGCTTGACGCTCGAAAGCGCGCGCGCCAGGCTCGATAGCACCTCTTCTAAGCTAGCAGGACCAAATCAGCAGAATCAAACCGGACCTATCAGAATATTTAGTACCCATTTTGTACTATTTTGTACCACTAATAACAATTTTGTATCCTGTGCCATTTCGGAGAAAATCGTGGCGGTGCTACCTTAGCATTAAGCTAGAAAGACCACAAGAAAAAAAAAAGAAAATTAAATACAGAAATTTGAAGGACTGAATTTGTACTAATTTGTACCATACAAATAAACTTAATATATTCATCCCTTCTGCTTCAAACAGCTCCTAATAGAACTCAGTCCTATTAGTCTCAAGAGTAAAGTACTCGTTCTCATCAGCAGAATCAATTGCTACTTGTAAACTCGATTCAGGATAAACTGTATAATTTGCGCAATACCGATACTTTTGTTAGCTAGAAAACGGAAACAGAAATCGAAACCTTTATTAAGTATTGAATGGCATCTATTCGTATATCATTGAGCAGCATTACCCGTATTATAGAACCGCGGATAAAAAAAGCTGGCAAGGTTCTGTACGGAAGACATTGAGTCAAAAATTCATTAAAATAAAGAAAAAAAAGTTGGGGAAAGGTTTCTTCTGGAAAAGATACATCCAGACGATTTTTGAAAATGAGGTGCCAACTTTACAGTGGCACACGCAGTATGAATATGTAAATAATTTAATTTAATAATATGTAAATAATTTAATTTAATAAAAATTTCAAGAAAATTTTAACAAAACGGAACCGGAAAAAACTAAGTTGCGTATATATTATAATCTATTGCCTTGTAAAGGATAGGATCGGAAATGGATAGATTCTAGAGCCTAGAAAATAGTTTTGTAATTTATGTAAATAAAAGTGGTCAGCCACTTCCCTCCCCTCCTAATTACTCAAAACTACTAATTATCAAAATACAAAATATATGTGAAAAATAGATCTATAATTTTAAATTAAAGTCCATTAATGCTTTGCACATAATTATTGATATACAATTATTATCATAATTACGTATTAAAAGTAAATCATTAAATAAAAAGCTGATAATATGTAAATAATTTAATTTAATACAAATTTCAAATAAAAAAATTTTAATAAACCGGAACCGGAAAAACACTGATTTGCGTAATAAAACATTAAACTACAAAATAACTCACCGGCCGATGCGCAACAGCGGAGTTGTAAGTTGTAACCCTGCGTTGATCTGTAACATAAAAATATGTTTACATTAAAGTAGGTGTCCAAGATAATATTATCTAATTAACGAATATCATGTAATGGACGAATCAAAAGTTGCGCACTTGAGAAAGTGGCGGATATTCCGTCACAGGACTGACAGGACTGACAGGACAGCAAAGTAATAGACGAATAACAATTTAACTACTCACCCCACGGTTGCTCCGCCGTCGCCCGATGCCTCCCCAGGTCCTTCTCCGTTGCAGCGTTGGTCCGTTGGCCGGTTGGCGCACTCACTATTCACTCACGACGTTCACGAAAATCGACGATAAGATCGCGTCGCTTATGATCGCGCGATATTTTCGACACTTTGCACGACACTTCCGGCATTAATCTCGCGACGCAACGGAAAAATTACGGCGGAGAAGCTGTATGATCCGCTCGACACCCGTCGGCCCACGTCGGCCCGTGCCGCGATGTCCATTGTCCCGCAGATAGACGATAACATGGAGACGACGTTCACGAGCGAAAATCGACATCGTCTCTTATGATCGCGCGACACTAAAAAGGCATGGCACTCCCCGGTATTAATCTCACGACACGGACGCGGCGCGTACTTCATTACACTTCAGGCTGCGTTCGCTTTGATTGCTTTCGGCACGAAAGCGCCCAAAGCGCGAACGCAGCCTTAATTATACAGCGACGAAAGAATTACGGCGGAAGAACTATAGGTACGATCCGCTTGTCGCCCGTGACGTGACGGCCGTGACAATGACGTCCCACGTCCCGCAGCCCGCAGGTAGACCGGGTAGACGCGACAAGTGAATCTAACATGGCGGAATTTAGCAAATCGCGGGCGCGGACCGCGGCGGGAACGGCCAACTTCACTCGTCAAGAGCAATTGTCGCGACTGTCGCGAGGACGCTACCTGCTCCTCCTACACCTGTACTTTTCGCACTTTGAACAATAAATAACATCGAGATTACTTTTACGTGTTGCAATATAAAAGCGACGTAAAAGGAATGAATGATGAATTAAAATCAAAGATCAAAGAGAAATATCCGCGGAACATGCCAACCGAAAATAATACGATCGCTACTTTATCAATTAGGCGATTCAAATTAGGTGATCAATTAGGTAATCAATTTTATCAATTCAAGGCGATTTTGGTTAACTGCAATTAAATTATCGACTTATGAAAACGTTGTGTCTATTTCTTACAATCGCCAAATTGTCAAATACAATTAAATATGAGGTTAAACGTTAATAGGGACCGTGATCGCTAATTAAACACGTCGCGGCGTCACTCGATGTAGAGTCCGTTCGATCCTTTTATCCGTGTTCCGAAAACCGAAAACGATGGACGACGGTCACCGGTCACTTCATTCTGAAGTCGAGCCGCGAGCGACACGACGCGAGACGGCGAGACGCGAATCAAGTTGGCGGTTGGGAAAAGCGAAATCAACTGTCCAAAAGAACGTAATAGAAAGTCACTATTATTAAATGCGACATCCGTATCTAATTCCGCGAAGCACATGTATTAAGCCTTGTGTCCACGATGCTAGAGAATCGCTCCGAGATCTCAGACGGAGGAAAAATTGACCAATCACATTTAAGCAATTCGGCCAATTGACCAATGCAATTGGTTAATTCTTTCTCCGCCCGACATCTCGGAGCGATTTCTAGTATCGTGGACACAAGGCTTTAAATAAACATTCGATATATTAGGGCTATCACACAAAATTGCATAGGCTGCATCCGTCGCGCTGGACCCGCTGGACCAATGAACATCTTATGTAAATCAATATGGCGACTTTATGCTGTATGCTCATTGGTCTTATAGATATTAGAGATATAAGAATAGAGTGCGCGAGTCATATGCTAGCACGTAAGAGGCTGGATATAGGAATAGAAAAAGAACGCTGCATATAGGCCCTTTCTGTCTTTGTCTACGCGCGCATAGCGAAACAAAGACAGGAGGGGTCCATGCACAGCTTTATCTTTCTATTCCTATATCGCTTTTTCAGCTCGCTCACGCACTCTATTCTTATATCTCTATGGGTCTTATGCTAAGCTATGCATTTTGTGTGTGATGGCCTTGATTTCGGGTTCTATAATTATCCGTTCCGAAAACGACGGAAATTCTATTCTGAAGCTGCGCGACACAACGCAAGACGCGAGTCAAGTTGACGGTTAAGAAAAGTGAGACCGATTATCTGAAAGAATGTATAATGCGATTTATACCTCGGATGTCGGAACGTAACCGATGGTCCAATGAGAAAAATTCGTTATCGAAAAAGAAATTCTCTCATTGGGCCATCCGACATAGGCGACATACGACTGATTGTATTAGAACCGGCCTTAAATGAACATTCGATGTATCACATTTTTCTGTAATCTGAATAATCGGACCTGGCGATTCGTACTTATATTACTCTGCGATGTGCGATCCGCGAGCAACGACATCAGAAATCAGAACGGGCCGCGGGCGCCTTGGTAACATGAGCATTGGGGATAGAGAGGGGTAGACTTTATGCGATACGTATACCCGGCACCCGGCATACCGAACTAACCGACCGCGCAGTGCCGCGCACCGTGTGTAGTGTGTATTCACCTTACCCCCAACTCTATCCCCACTACTCGTGTTTACCGCGACGCCCGTGACCTGTTCTGACGTCAGACGTGTCGTTACTCCCGCACCCCGCGCCCCTCGCTCCAGTTACCGTTCCCATATCGCGGAGTAAATACACGAGTCGCCCGGTCCGATTGTTTAATATATCGAAAGTTCATTTAATTCATGTGCTTCGAGGAATTTATACGGATACCGAGGTATATCGCATTCGATTACATTTTTTCGGATAATCCGTAGTTAATCAAAGTCGCGTAATCGCGTAATCGCGTTCTCGAGACAGTTGCTCCGGGCGAGTGAAGTTGGCCGTGCGCGATTTACGAAATTCTCTCCGCCACCTTCGCTTCACTTGTCGTGTCTACCTGCGCGCGGGTATCGCGGGATGTCACGGTGCGGCGTCATGGCGTCATGGGCGTCAAGCGGATCGTATAGTTTCGTTCGTAGTTTCTTCGACCGCGACGTAATTCTTCTGTCGCCGTGTAATTAAGTTTCTTAGTACCGCGTCGCGAGATTAATACCGGGAGTGCCGTGTGCCTTTAGTGTCGCGCGATCATAAGAGGAGACGATATCGTCGATTTTCGCTCGTGAACGTCGTCGCGTTGTGAGTGAGTGCGACAATGGACCAACGGAGTAACGGAGGACGATCGAGGAGAGGAGAACGGGGCCTGGGAGGCATCGGGCGACGGCGGAGCGACCGTGGGGTGAGTAGTTGTTAATTTTCTTATATATTATATTTTGCCGTCCTGTCAGTTCTGTGGTGGACTCCGCCACTTTCGTGGTTTTTAACTACGGTGCAATTTCGGGTCGAGTCTGATCTCCGGCGTATGCGAGATATTACGTCGCGAACGTCGCGTCTCTCTCTTATTCGCACGGTCGCAGTATAATTTGCACAATTTTTCGCGGATGAATTATGCGAACTAGTTAACACGGAAATATCCAGCCGCTTATTGCGGCGCCGGCGGCCGCGATTGTTTTTTACATTTTAAAATCAGATATTTGTTAAAATAATGTTTTAAAAACGGGCAATAATTATTTACTTCGATAATTATTTACTGTCGATTATCTTGGACGTAGCTTTAATATAAAAATATTTCTTTTGTTACAGATCAACGCAGAATTACAACTCCGCTGTTGCGCATCGGCCGGTGAGTTATTTTTTGAGCAGAAGGGATAAATATATGTATATTAAGTTTATTTGTATGGTACAAATTAGTACAAATTCAGTCCTTCAAATTTCTGTATTTAATTTTCTTTTTTTCTTTTTTTTTTCTTGTGGTCTTTCTAGCTTAATGCTAAGGTAGCACCGCCACGATTTTCTCCGAAATGGCACGGGATACAAAATTGTTATTAGTGGTACAAATTAGTACAAAATGGGTACTAAATATTCTGATAGGTCCGGTTTGATTCTGCCGATTTGGTCCTGCTAGCTTAGAAGAGGTCTCGATAGCACGTAAATGATGCATAAGTATAGACCGTGCACGCGTGCCAAGTGTCGTGACGCGCAATGACGAGGTCGGGGGCACGTCTCTTCTCGGTGTCGGCGACGCTCTATCTCGAGTGTCGTCTAGAGTTTGTCGCGGGCTTTTCCTAACACACGAGCCCTTCACGGATCACCGCGCCCGTTTCTCGAGCCTTGTTGTCGCGCCACTTTCATCTTATATGTTCATCTTACCTGACATGTCTCCGACGGGTGAGTCACGTTAGCGGCGCACAACATATCCCGAGACAGCGGCTTGTAGCTCGGCATTGTCGCCCTGCACGTACGCTGATTTACGATCGCCACAGCGGCCGCTGCGAGCTGAACTCCGTTCGGGCTGGTCCCCTGGAAATTTGGCACGACTCGCACGTTTTTACGACACGTTTCTCGTTATTGTGACCCCGCCGGGGCGGACCAGGGGGTTACGAACGCGCGCGAACGTTTTGCGACAGTGTTTCGTAACGATTTACTTTTTGGTACCGACGTGACTTTGAATAACGTCGCGCCCGGGTGCCGACCGGTTGGCGGGAAGTCGCGGAAAAGTTTGCATATCCGAGTTCCTGTAAAAATGCCTACGCTCGTTGTAAAAATCTCGTTCCCGGCAGTTGCTAACTCCGGGAGAAGCGTTTCACGGCGGAAGAACGACTGACGAGTTATGAGAGTATACGCGTTCCCCAAGTGTCGCGGCACCTGGACACTTCGTCAAACGGTAAAGAACGATTTTGTCGAGCAAACGGTTGTGAAAATTCGAAAAATAGACTAAAGCTGCGCGTGTCACGCGAGTATATTTACCCGAGTTCGTTTCCAGCCGGTCACGACACAATGGATCCCGTCCTGGAGTTCCTCGTTTTCCTTCTCCGGGAGCGCGATAGGGAGCAACTTTTCTCCAAACTCTACGGGACTCTTTAGCTACAAGTTTGATAAATGTGACAACTTTGCATACGCACGCACGCGACACACCAATAAAACCCATACGCGCGCGGAATGTTTGTTCAGCGAATGGAGATACGTACCTTCATCAATGCTATATCGTTGAAGTATACATACTTATCAAAATTCTCATGCACCACAATATTTTCTATCTTTAATACATCGCCATCCTTGGAAATGTAAGGAGAACGTACGCGTACGGATACCGTCGACAACTTTGCTCTGCAGATATCAATATATAGAACGTTACTTTATTAGAAAATTTTATTAATCTAAAAATTAAATGTACAAGACGTATTTTCAATTTTTATTTTATATAATATTAAAAAGTTTGTTATTCCTAAGAGACACAAAGTTGACTTCAATTCAGACAAAAATCTTTCAACAAAATCAAAGTCGTAGCTTCCAAAAGAAACGTCTTGTGCATTATTATTTTTTGCTGTAGCACGTACCTGAAAACACAGGATGCCGCAGTCATAATCCATGATTCGTGTATAAATGCGCCGCTGCAAACGTGTCGTCCGGCTATCTGGATCGATACCTGTATTGGGGATAACGAATTCTATCTGAAATCCGATTTATTTGAAAATAATAGCGGCTTACAGTCACCATGCTATATATACTGACTACCGATTAAAGCCACATGTGAATGGCGTATAGTTTTATTTGTCGGCGAAACGCACGGTACTGCAAGCTATCGCTATCGCGCATATATGGGGGGGAAAAAAATGAGTTTCTCTCACATGGTACGGATAATCCTCGATGACCACATATTCGTGCTTTTCGGTATTAACAGCTGTAATCACAATTTATGTAAAACAATTTGGTGTGAAAAACGTGAATATGTATATAAAAACGACTCACTGTACACTAGAAGTACGCAGAATAACAGAATGAATTTTTGGGACATTTTTTTCACGCTGATGACCGCGAGTGATGACTCTTACATGAGACGATGGTGTCAGAGAATAATTCGCGAATGGAGACTTATTTTATGTCGAAGATAGACCTTTAATATCGCATTATCTATGTTCGAAATTATAACAAAGTCTTATCACATAAAAGAATGCCGCGCGATTAATTCGGGATTGTCCCATTAGAGACGTAATTCAATTCCGGGATGATGTTAAACTAATTGGTACACACAATTACGTAACTGACGCGTAACATATAAGTGATATCATATCGATCGACCAATAATGGTATAACCATGTTATAGATTATAGATAGCTAATTGAACTTCTGATGTATAGAAAGAGAGAAAGAGAAAGAGAGAGAGAGAGAGAGGATAAGGAAGACAGGGAAAGAGAGAAAAGTTAAAATAGACATTGTATATTTTAACAATATTTTCATTTTCATGTCGTTCAATTAAAACATTCGAGCTTGAGTACTTATAACAATTCAATGCTTATATCATTGATTAATTTGTCTTATCATATTATTTCTTTTAATTTATTTACTTTTTAATATTAATACGCATAATTATAACGATTTTGTATCGTTTGTTTTCTTTTTCTAAAATTACCTGATATGCGAACCCATTAAAACTCGGGATCTCGTTTGCATTAATTTTTGTGGTTAATATAAAATGCGTTATAAAAATTCTCGCGCCTTAAGATCTCGCATCTGTCTCACGTAAATGTCATTTAGATATTTTATCAAGTTATCTATAGATTTGATGTTGTACCGCCCGCAAATTGAGATGCACATCAAGGGGCGTATAATTGTCAGAGATTAAATATGGCTGATCCACTTTATCCACCAGAGGAGATTTACAACGTTGGTGTAAACACCAGGATAAAACGGTTCAGCGCATCGATATCCCCAGGATACAATTCCATACAGGACGCCATCCGCCGTAAGGGGTCCGCCCGAATCTCCATCACACGCGTCTTGACCGCCACGCATGTAACCCGCGCAAATCATTCGATCGGTGATGCTGCGGATATATCTGTATATGCCTCGACACGTCTTTCTGCTTACGATCGGCAGCGTTACTCTCATTAACACTGGTGATGGTTTTCCACCTGCCTAAAATAGAAAGTTTCTCTGCGGTGCAACTTTTATAACTTGAATTGAAATACGAATCTAATTATCTTGATAATTTCAATGCGCCCTGATAAACTTATTAATAGAACGTGTTAGGATTATTGCGAGACTATAATACACAATGATCATCTACTCCAATCTTTTCCCCGTAAAGTACAGACCAGATACCGACACCTATAAACCACAGAGCGGAGTCGATACCGATTATCAGATATCAGCATCGCGGAATTAGCTGTGGGGGAAACGCTACGAAAGTTGCAGTTCCGCTAAGCGCCGAATCGGAAAGGGAAGTGGACGAAGTAATTTAACAATGGCGCCGTAATATAATACCTTTGATACACCCGCAGCGTAATTTAGTATCATTGCAAATGGGACACGGGGGATATCGATTTTTTTTTTGGTCGGATACTACATGTGCGCGGTTCGATTACCGATACGGAATAGCGGCTCTCACGAAATCTTCGAGTCGTGCTCGGCTGACCGGGGGAAATTCGTTACTATTTAGCCCCATTTGTTTTCCGCAACGTTCAGATAATGAGTCTATTCCCCGCGCTCTCACCTTCGCCGCTCCCCATCCGGTGACGTTCACCATAATGCCACTCGCGAGTTCCTTTTCCGGCAGCTTCACTGGTTGCACCTTATCGTTAAATGCGATTTCGCCGTCGATCTGAAATGAAATTTTCAGAGCGTGCGAGAGCTACCGATGTTGTTATTGTCAGCTGGCGCAGGTCGTTAACGAGGAAAAACAGAGAGGTCGAAAACGTGAGAGAAAGAGATAGAGTTCGACGTTACCTCGAGAAGGGCGATATCGTAATCGATCGTCAGGAAATTGTAGGCGGGGTGTCGAACGATCTCTTTAACTGGATAATAGACGCCCCCGTATTTGTCGTTACTTCCTGCGCGAAGTCTGTAAACGCTCGCCGGCGAACTGCAACGGAATGCACGCGCTGGTATATGAAAATATCGCGATGATAAGCATACGCTGTAATACATGAGTTGAGCTATGACAGTATCGACAAAGCGTTTATGAAAGAATGCTCCACAACATTTGCAGCAGCGGGGCAGATAATCGTGTCAACGTGTCTACAATTTTCTAATTTATGTCATTGTGACGCACCAATTGCATCGGTATGCGAACTTAAAGCAATAAGTAACTTCAATTTTAAATAATAATTACTCTGCTACAAATAAGTTAGGAGTTATATTCGGTTTATGAATAAAAGCTTGAAAATGGATCGCAGAATTTCCCGAAAAAGATTGCTCTCATTTCTGAGTTTTAACTAATCGATATAATTAGACACTTGAATTGAGTGTCCGAAGAAAACAGATATGCTTGACAAATTGCATTGTTACGCAAAATCGAATAAACTTTACAATTTTATCTTTTTCTATCTATATCTGTAAATATACCGTTGAAGCATGCAAGAAGAAGATAAATACGGCCTTGATAATGACTGTGATTACATTTGGCACTTAATGAGAGGTATTAAATTAGTTAGAAAACGTTTCAAAGATAAGGATAAACGTGATTAGTACAAACGTCTTATCAAGACTTAAGATTTCGTTTTGTAATGAGATAATGCGATACGTATCCAAGAGGGAAAGAAATATATAATACCTAACGCAATGAGCCGCCGTGACAGCCCATTTATTACTGATGATGACGGCTCCGCAAACGTGCCATAAACCTCGCTGGAGGCTCAATTGATAAGGATGTTGCTGTATGTCAGTTACTGTACCTCTCACGATTCGAGGATCAAGAGGGGAAACCGGTCGCACCAGGAAGGATGCTGTAATATTAAATCTGATGGTAGAATTTGTCTTGAGTCGCTTCAGCAAAAAAGTTGGCTTCCAGAATGCAGCGAATACGTAAATCACGCGAAGATTTTTGGTCGACATTATTACACGCGACTGTGTAACTTCTTAAACTTTCCTCCCCGGAACGCGTTGGATAATAAAAAATACGGTTAAAGAAGTTTCGCTATAACTTGTACTGATTTGACTTTATCATGTTCTATTATTCGTCACGGAGTTTTAAATGTCAGATAAATTGCGTTGTTTATGCCACATGAAGCTCAACTCTTTTTAATATAAACGTAAAGTTTAATATATAAGTTTGTAAATTATATATATGTATGTAGACTGTACAATTTTTTAATTATTTTAAATTATTTTAACGTAAGATTAGAATTATATGTCTCTTTCACTCACTGATACCTCCGGCAAATAGGAAATAGGAAATGACGCTTCGTAACATTTCACTAACATACAAGCACGTACACTAGTAAGTCGTGTCTTCTTATTGGCTTTTATATTGCAGTCATGTTTCTCACATCTGGCGAAAACTTCTTATCTTACGTCGACGTAAAACGTATTTTTATTCAAGCGTCGCGTGGTACAACATAATTGTTGAAAGAACGTCATGTAGGAACAAAGATAACGAAATAGTCTCTTCATAAAATTGCAATATTATTGCAACATAAAATAAACCCGTATTCGCGACTATAATGATAATTCAGACGATAAGATATCTCTTGGATGTGTATAATATATATATATGCATATGTAGGGTATTCAATAATAACCGTATTATTATTTCTCGTAGATAGATAAAGCGGGTTAAATCGAATAGAAAAGTCCTCTACTGTTTCGCGCAAATGCACGCTGATTCGCAGACGTTTATTAAACAATTTTTCATTAATTTTATTGAAAAAAATCGCAAAATAGACGATTGTTTTATTCAATTTAACCTGTTCTACCAGATCACGAGAGATAATATGGTTATTACCAGACACCTTATATATATGTACATATTCGCAGATCTCTTTATTAAATAATTTTTCATTAATTATTAAAAAAAATCGCAAAATGGTAGACGATTTTTTTATTCAATTTAACCTGCTCTACTAGATTACGAGAGGTAATACGATTATTTTACCATGGACACACTCTCTCTCTCTCTCTCTCTCTCTCTCTCTTTCTTTTTTTTCTCTCTCTCTCTTTCTCTCTCTCTCTCTCTCTTTCTTTTTTTTCTCTCTCTCTCT